GGTCACTTGCTGTGCATATGCTCCCAACACTGCCAATAGGATCCTCACCAGAACTGAGTTGAGGCCAGCCCCAGGCCCTGAAACTTCCAAAAATATAGAAAGAAAGATGAAAGAAAGGCTGTTAAACTGTATAAAAAAGTGTCTCACCTGTGAATGACATTTTTAGCCAACTCCACATCCTCCTGGGACTGACATAAATGAAGCAAGATCCTCAGCTCGTCCTTCAGGATGAGTTGGTTCTGGGCCAATTTCTCTTCTAAGTTTCTAAAATAGGTTTCTGGAAGGAAGCAGAGGATGGTGGCCGTCACTCAGGCTGACTGGGATTGTGAGGTGGATGTCTTCAGAGAGAAGGGACCCTGCAGGGGCTTGAGAGCACACAGCACCCTCCACTGGCTTTCTCTGTCCTTTCCTTTGCCTTTCTCTCTGATCAACAATGGAGACAAACACTAAACAAACACTTTGGCTGGACTGTTACCAAAATGTGGGATGAGATACAAGGCAGGAACCAAACAAGCTTCTACTTTCTAGAAGGCAGGGCTGTTCTTACACAAGACCAAGCAACAGTAACAGAATCTTCTTCTGAGCCCAGCACTTTGAAGGAATGCTGCTAGATGGGGCACAATGCACTGTAGGAGCTGAGGCTCACAGAACTTTTTTTTTTTTGATGGTACTGGGGATTGAACTCAGGACTTTGTGCTTGCCAGGAAAGCGCTTATCCTACTGAGCTATCTCCCCAGCCCCTCACAGAACTTTTGCTTTCCAAGAAAGATCCCCCAAGTTTATGATAAATGCAATAGTTCTCCCAAGCTTTAGTCACAGAACCATGCAATGATAAGGTTTAGGCAGAAATCTAGGTTGTACATGCTCTGGAGGAAACTCATGTCTGCGAGACTTCATTTCTCACATGTAAAGTAAGGATTTCTATACCTTCCTAAAGAGTTATGTGAGATGGTTCATGGAAAGCATTAAGACCTGGGCCTACCAAACAGTCAACTATTCAAATAGTTACATCACTGACCTCGATTTTCACTCCTGTTACCTGTTAAATCTAACAGGATATACACTGCTAAAAATATCTTAAAAGATCACAAAGGGATAACTCTATATCTTGTACCTCTTAGTCCTTTTTAATAAACTTTATGAGGACTGGCAAGATAGCTCAGAAGACTAAAGTGCCTGCTTAGGCAAGCTTAGGCAAGTGCAGGGACTGGAGATAGATCCCATGTACCACATGCCACACCAGCCCCATCCCCAGGGCGGACTGAGCCAGCCATAGTCCAAGCATAGTGGCACACGCCTGTAATCCCAGCACTGGGGAGGCTGAAAGCAGGACCACCACTATGAGTCTGAGCTTCATAGTGAGACCCTGCAACAACCAAATACATTGAAAATAAATAAATGAATATGTTTAATCTTTAATCCATTTTGACTTTAGCTTAGTACACGGTGATAGGCTCGGGTCTAGTTTTAGTTTTTGGCATGCAGAGAGCCAGTTTTTCAGCACCATTTGTTAAAGAAGCTTTCTTTCTTCTTTAACATTTTGAGGCCCTTTGTTGAAGATAAAGTGGTTGTGTGTATTTATAGTGGCTTCTGCATCTTCTAATCTATTCCATTTATCCTCAGGTCTATTTTTTTTTTTTTTGCCAATACCATGCTGTTTATATCACAGTAGCTTTGTAGTATAATTTCAGAGCAGGCATTGTAGTGCCTCCTGCCTTGTCTTTCTTGTCCAGGATTACTTTTGCTATTCCAGGTCTTTTCTGGTTCCAAATAAATTTTAGCAATGATTTCTCTAAAAAAATAAATAAACCTTATAGATCCAAACTGTCAAAAGACGTAATTGTGTTTTACATCTTTTAAGTGTTTATCATGGATTGATACTCAGAAGTATGTGTCTCTGTTAGTAGGAAGGATAATTATGGTTCCTGCCCACAGAGCTTATGGTGTATTTGGTAGGACAAGACTATTCAGATGAAGCTATCTGAAAATTATTACGGATCAGGTGACACACAAGTGAATTTGGTCTATAAACATAATAGGGTAGAAGAGTCTTATTAGAGCACGTATTGTATGTCTGAGTGGTAGGACAGATAAGGTTTGAAGTAAGTAGAGAGGTCAGGTATGGAAGAAGAAAAGGCTAGAGAATCGGAGAGTAGGGTGCTAAAGGTATGCAAATTGTCCTCACTTCAGAATTGGGAGTGAAAAGTACTGAGGAAGGGCTGTGACTAGACAAACAAGAAAGCATACTCAACTCCAGAAAAGAAGTCCGTTCTAGAAGCAGGGTGTGTGTGTGTGTGTGTGTGTGTGTGTGTGTGTGTATGTGTACACTAAGTATACACCACACCACAGAATGCTACGGTGGATTCTTACAATGACAAAAGGTTACCCAAACTCCATTAAGTATCAGTTCAACAATGCAACGGATTGGCACTGTCTTTTGGAACATGTAGACAAAACCATGACAAGAAGATATAACACCTACTGTATGACATGTAGTCCTAACTACAAACCTCATATACTCAAAAATACCTGGGGTAAAAGGAAAATACGAAAGTGACCTCTAGACTAAATGTACTGAACTTAATACATATCTGTGCATTCCTAAAGCTTGCCTTCATGCTCCATGAGTGGTATCAGAGAGCTGTATCACCAGCTGACCTATGAAGAAAGGCTGATTTCTAGAGGTCTGGTCTGAGAGGGAAGGGAGGCAGGATGTGTTAAACAGAAGCTGGCAAACATCTGGCAGTAAGAGTAAGAGTTGGGCCTATAGCTAAAAATGCCAACAGGGACAAACACAGAGTTATTACTGCAGGGGGATAATCTTGGATGTGTCACAGCCAACAGGATCCTTACCAGAACTGAGTGAGGCCAGCCCCGGGCCCTGGAATCTCTAAAACTGTGGGAAGACATACTGCTGAGTACTCTATCAGCAGGAGAGAGAATAAATGATACAAGATTTCTCAGATACTGAAGGGAATGGAGCTTAGGGTACTGTGCTCTTGTTTTTAGTTTTTTGCCATAAAAATTTTCAAATACATCCAAAAGTAGAGAGAGCAATATAAGTACTCCTCAAGCACCCATCACCCAGCTCCCACAATTAACAACAGTTTGCTAATTTCGGCTCCCTGCAACTCCCCAAACTCACTGGACTTTTCAAGGTAGATCCCAGATTTCATACAGATTTCTCCTGTATATAAAGAAACCTTTGTTTCTATATATAGAAACAAAGAATATATGAAATTCCACCATCACACATCACTGTTCTGTTTCACGTACATACAGATATGTAATGAAATGTACTTTGTACAGAGGGTTACACCAAAGCCTGAAAGCCAGTTATCTAAAATCTTACATACATAATATATAGGAATCATTTGGAGCCTTTCCATCTGCATCTTTATCAACATCCAGTTGATGCTGATATGGGCCTCAAACCATACTCAGAAGACTGACTGCAGCTCTAATTTTACTATTTCCCTACAATTCTTATATAAGGGATAAGGGGAGAGTTGTAGGCTTTCCTGCGGTAGGAGTGTGTGAGAATAAAGGTGAATGTAAGGGTAGCCTAGGAAATAAATAATACGTGTTCTCAATCTTCTTCTATGAGACAGTTTATTGAAGGATAGAATGAACAGGATCAGAGAAAATTTGAATGGTGGGTAAGAGAATTAAAATATATTCTATTACCTTTAGTGCCAGGAAGGTTACATGCAACGGCCACCTTCTTATGTTGAAATTCCTTTAACTTCGTAACATTATCTGTAAGCAGGTATCTTTTAGCTAAAGCAAAAGGAAGAACAAAGCAAAATAATTTGAATGTTTGGAGGACAGCTTCATTATCTCTAATGAACTGATCTACTATAAATGATGCATCTACAATGGATACAAACATGTCAGTGACCCTGATGGGGAAAACCCTGCAAACTACCAGTGAAAGCAAATCTTCAGCAAAAGAAGTTTTGTTTGTGAAAGAAGCTAGTGATTAACTGTAAGATGACTAGTTGACAAGAAGCTAGGACTTGAAGAACAGGTATTTTCCATCTGGTTAAAGGGTAATAAGAACACTTTTTTTAAAAAAAGAAGCAGAAGAAAGAAAGAAAGGGTTGGGGAGCTAGCTCAACACCTAAGTGCCTGCCTGGCAAGCACAAGGTCCAAAGTTCAATCCCTGACTTTAAAAAAAAAAAAAAAATTGAAAAGAAAAGAATGAAAGAAACAACTAATTACTATCATCTAAATGCAAAACAAGCATCTGGATCTGGTTTATCTAAGGGACAACATACAGGGTAGTAGTGGAAAAAGCACCTGTGTGCACGGGAACTCCCCCAGTCTTGTCATTCATGAAATGGGACAATAATGGCCTTCTCGAGTTTAACACAGTATCCTAAATACAGATCACACAGCTTAGTAAATTGGGGAAATGTCATCCTTTCGGTAGGATTGTTGGTGGTTCACGAGGCAAAAAAAATGGATAAAGCCTGACCAAAGAATGACCCACTACTAGAGTTTTGGGTGCTACAGCAAAAAGATAACACTACAAACTGCTATGTATGTGTTAAAGGTGGTCCGCCAAGTGCTTGAATTCAAATCCTGCAGCTATCAGTTCCCTGTGACCTTGGGCAAATGACTTAATCTCGTCTTTTTCTCTGCAAATGGAGAAAAGAAAGGTACCTCTCTTACTGGTTGTTTTAAACGTAAAACATTAAAGTAACTCACAGAGTGCCACACATTTCTTTCACTTACTACAATTCTCAAGTTTGATCATTTTCCTAAATACGTTAAAAGTAATGCTGACGATGAGGAAAGCCGTCAGTCTTAGATTTTAAACTCAGAGGGGACAGCAAACTCGCGAAGGGGTGATCCAGAAGGCACGGACGCCTCCCGCCAGGGAGCACCGGGGTCTCAAAGGCCAGGCCCAGCGACCCCCGGGGGTGCAGGGAGCCGCGCGCACGCTCCCCAGGGGTCCCCGCTGCGCTCAGGCTCAGCTCCACGGCCAGGGCGCGCGCTCCAGGCCCAGGAGCGACTTCGCTACAGCGCTGCCCGCTGGCTCGAACACCCCGTTCTCTTCCACCTCTCCCTCCTTCTACCGCCAAAGGGCGCGGATACCTCCGAGAGGGCAGCGGCAGCAAGCGGGGCCTGAGCCCACCACCCAGGGACACAGCAAGGTCCCGAGCGCTCGCGGCGAGACTCTCCCCCGAGGATGAAGCGCGGCAGCCATATTGCCCGAGGCCGCACCACCTACGGGAGCCGCGAAGGGGGAGAAAGAACGACTGTTTCCGGAGCGCGCCGCCCCTTCCTTCGTCCTCCGCCCCCCCGCGCCGGCCTCCACTTGGTATATTCCAAGATGGCGGCCCCCACAATGCGGCGCGGAATGCTGCTGGCTAGGAAAATCGCGGCAGCTCACCTCTACCCGGCAGGTTGGTGGCTCCTTCTCGGTGGGGCTCTTTCGCCAGGCCCTTAATTACATTGTTCCTTGAGTGAAGGGAGCAATAGCCTTTCAAAAAGAAAATAAGTCTTCTGAGATATGGTTGCCAGAGAAGCTTTTTGAGGTAATTTTGTAGCACAGAGAAGGAAGGGAAAGTGTCTGACCCATTTCCTGCCCTAAAACGGTAGTATCTGCCAGTCCAAAGCATACGAAGAGGACAGCATAATTTTGTGTGTGACTGACTTGTCGGATGTGTGTGTTAAGGCGGTCGTCGTCTTCTGACCCTGAAAAACCCAAGTGTGTCCATCTCAAGGGGCTGTGAAAGTTTCTTCTCAGGTTTCCTTGGAGGGGCGTCAGGTAGACGTTTTCCTCACCTCCCCATACGGTCTTCACTTAGTTGGAGACTTTTTTAGGATTAGTCTCAGTTTACTTGATGACCTTGGACATCATTCTTGATTGACCTTTAGTTGCTATAGTTTTCCACACGAATAACAAAGGCTGCTAGTACTTCTGCAGCATTTTGCTAGCTTAGATGAACAACACCCCATCCATTCTCTCTTTTTTTTTTTTTTTTGGCAGAACCGGGGATTGAACTCAGGTCCTTGCCATTGCCAGGCAAGCGCTTATTCCACTAAGCCATCTCTCCTACCCTCATCCAGTCTCTTTAATTGATCTAATGACTAGAATATTGGCCAGGTCAAAAGTATTTACAAAAGCCAGGTCTGCGATAATGTTAGTCACATAATCGTGATAGATGTATCCTATCATTTAATTAAAATGCAATAATCGTGTAATCTCAGCACTTAAGAAGTTGAAAAAAGGATAGAGAATTTAGGGCCATCCTGGGCTACAGTGAGTTCAAAGTTGACCTGGAGGCTAGGGAGACTATATCTCAAAAGCAGTACTCACACTGTGTGTTTTCAATGCTGCTTGATGCTTTTTTAACCATCCTTGCTTACTATCCCTCTCCCCAAAGTAACACACACTCCTGCTCTCCTGTCTCAGGAACAGCCTTTAAACATCAATGTATAACCTCATAGTTGACTGTGAAGTTTATAAACATTTGACCTACCTGGTAAAAATGTTCAGTGTCACACATGCAGCAAATTGGTAAGCATAGTTTGGCCCCTCAGTAACAACTGACTGTTGTAGCTATTATTTAATTTTAGTTACTAGTAAATGCTCTTCAGTCTCAACAAGCTCTGGATAGTAAACCAGGAAGAGAATCATGGTTGCGTAGAATGGAGGCTACCATTCTAACAACAGAATGGAAATTAAATACAGACTAGGGTGAATTGAGAATTTTCAATTTAAAGAGAAAACTTCAGATTCAATTCAATGGGAGACACCAGCTATGTTTTAAGTGCTCAGTTGACCCCTGTGGCTGGTGTCTGTTGTATCAGACAGTTCAGAATAGAACATTTTCATCAACACAGGAAGTTGTATTGAACAAACACTATTACACAGAGATGAAAGGGAACTGGAAGCGGTAAGTACAGTGATTCAGGTATATTGACTAGTACAACAAGATTTCTTAAGAATTGGGAATGTTAATAAGGAGCCACTAGTTATTGCAACATTTGATCCATTACAGAACAAGAGAGGAAAATTGCTTACACAAATTCATGACAGATCAATGTTTGGAACACTTTGATGCTTCTTTAAATAGAATGGAGAAGTGCAGCTAAGATCATTAAGAGGATGAAAGGAAAAACAACTAAGATGGAACCAAATAAGTGACTTAAGTGTATAAAGATGTTTTTAAATTATTATTATTATTTTTTGCATTTTTTAGTAAGGATCTACAGGTCTCACTACATAGATTGGACTGGTGATCCACCTGTGTGCAGCCTCCCAAGAGCTGGGATGACAGGCACTAGCCACCATACCCAGTCTCAATCACCCACCTCAGCAAGCCCCAGGGGTGGGGCCAGCACGCATGCTGGGGTTCCCCACTGCTTCATCTGCCTAAGCAGGCTCTTTAATTTGCTGAGCTGTTTGGCCAGCTCTCTATAAAGGCGATTAGAGGGAGGAAATTTACTGGAGACCATTGCATAACGGACATTAATATATTCACTCACTTAAACTACTACACTGATTATATTATACGTAATATACATAAAATACATAATACATATATGTAATATACATAATTATATGTAATATACATAATTTTTGGTAGTATTTACTATTAGCAAAACAAGGATTCAAAATTATTTTGTGACTAAAGCATGCTTATTGCAAGAGTTGCACTGCTTCCCTTTGAGTATAAAGGATGCTTGGAGACATTCTATTAAATCCAAAATAACTGTACAGTGTGTAAGGATATTGATGGAGCCAGTACAGTTTCACCAGACTTGGAAATTCTGACCTTTGAAAGTGTTCAAGAATTAAATGGGATTGAGTTTTTGGAGTGGATAGTGGATAGCACTGCCCCAAGCAGTACTGACAATCTGAGGGTAAGCAGGTTTCAGGAAAGTATATCTGTTCTTGGGTGTTCCATTGAGAGTGGGATTGGACAGGCTCAAAGACCTAAACCTGCTAGGCTGAGATCAGTCTGTCCTCTTGTTAACTCACCTGTGGTCTGAGGGCAGTGGTCATCCCTGTTACCTAGCAGGGATTTCTTGTTTCTTGTTAGAAGTGCAGACTCTGTCCTCGCTTTAGACCTACAGAATCAGAATCTGCATCTTAATTAACTATGCATACTAATGTTTGAAGATTTGGCCTATTTTACGCTTACACATTCCATTCTGCCCTCGACCTTGTAGAAATTCTTTGTGATATTAACATACAGACCTATTAATGTACATTGATGGAAAGAACTCCGAATGACATTGTGAAAAAATATTTGAGAAAGATAAACATACTGATTTAAAGGTCGACAATGAAATATCTGTCTTTCTTGCTATACTATTTTCCTGCAGCTGGTGTAGCACATTAGCATCAATATGGTAGCCTAAAATAACACAGATTCATTATCTTACAGTTCTGTGTGTTTGACGTGGATCTAAAATTCAAGGTGTCAGAAGTAGTGTGTTCCTTCTGGTGTCTTTCTGGGAAAGGCTGTTCTTTTGCCTTTCCCATATCACAGCCCACTCATATTCCTCAGGTCCCAGTCCTCTTTCTCCATCTTAAGCATGAACAAGGGCCAGTCCGTCCTTACATTTTTGCCCTTGACAAACCTCCCTGACCAATTGGTTTTTCTGTGTCCCATTTTTGTGGACTTTTGTGATTATATTGGGTTCATCCGAATAATCCAGGATGCTTACATTTGAAGATCAGCTCAGTGGCAACCTTAATTCTCTGTCCTGTAAAATAGTTTCAGATTCTGAGGAATAGGATATGACATCTCTGGAAGCCATTATTCTGCCTGCCACTCTTGGCAACTTATTACTACATTTGTCATTGGTTTCTATTAGGAAAACTGTCTACTTGGCCAAATTTATGCTCCTCCCATTTCCTTTCATATGTATGCTTTCCATACCAATAGAAAATAATTACCCATTACTTAAAAAAAGAAAAGAAAAACCTGAGCTGCTTGGCTTTTGTTTTGTGAAAGTATTAGTCCTAATTTATTTTCCTTTGGTTCAGGCAGTTCCCTTGAATGCTAACTCTACAGAAGGCATTCTAGGAGTCCTGTCTTTCCCCAACTCAACTCTGTAGCTTTTTGTGTTTCTGAATTGCTGAATCTACAATGATCTACAGATTATCTTTTCTGAGTCCAGACTATATAAGGGTGATTTCTTATGCTAGAATACAGCTTCTATGGAAATAAAGATGGAAAGAATAGATGAGATATTAGTAATAAAAGTAAGTCACTGATATCCTGGATTATACTGCTTAACAGTTTCCCTGTTTATGGTCATAGAAAAGGGCTGCCATTGTTCCCCATGGAAAAAGAGATCATCCTGATTTTAGAAATTGGAAGTCAATTTGCATAGAACTGCTGCTCTAAGTTTTGTTTTGTTTTGTTTTGTTTTGTTTTCTTTGACTTTTTGAGACAGAGTCTCACTATGCTGTTCAGGTTGGCCTTGAACTCACTTTGTAGCCCAGGCTGGCCTCGAACTCACAGTGATCCTCCTGCCTCCACCTCCAGAGTGCTGGGATTACAGGCATGTACCACCATGCCTGGCCTGCTCTAAGTTAAGAATGGGTTATTCCTTTTGATTTTGTATGAAAGACTGTTAGAGCATGCAGGAATCTCAGTGTTATCTAATTTAGGTTCATTTTCAATTACAGGATCGAAGTTTTCCAGAAGTTTACAAAACTCAAAACTAATCTCCATTTTCCTAATTGGATGTATAGCTATATACCTACACTGTAACTAACATAACGCCATCAGATTTTCTTTTTTTTTTTGATAAATTTTTGTTCCTATGAAAAATGATTCTAAGTTTCAGACATCTGATAGTTTTGCAAAAATTCTAGTCCATTTGAAATGTAGACACTAACTTTTTTAAAAGAATGTCATAGTTTTCCTTTTGAAAGTGTTGGGAAACTATCATTGTTAAGGTTCTTCAATTCAAATATCTTATTCTAGTAAGGGTTTGAATTGTGCACATGTTAATGATTGGATTATCTGTAAATCTGCATAAATGTATTTATGTGTTTTAGTTGAAAGATAGAAAATAACCATAATATTTTGAACTGTGTTTAATCAGCCCTGGTACGTCTAGTTAAGTGTGACTTGTGGTCTTGAATGTCATCTGGGTAATTATCTGCTATTCATTCTATTTCTGTCTTCCTTAAATAGAGCTGAAAGTGTTAAAATATAACATGACATAAAATTCACCCATTAGAAGTATATAA